GGGCACAGCAGTTCTATCATAGAATCGCTTTTGCGTCTGCTGGGCCTTGACAAGGTGCTTTCTGGCTGTATTCCACACACCGTGCAACGACTCTCTCAGCTTTTGGAAGTACTCCATTACCGAGACAGGCCGCAGATCCGAAATACCTTCCCATTGCTGTTTAAGCATACGTAGAGGGGTGTTCAGAGTCCTGCCAAAAACCAATTCATTTGGGCTGAATTGCAGTGACTCCTGAAATGTGTCATTATAGGCAGCCACTAAGTAACAAAGATGTTGCTCCCAGTCTTTATGATAGTCAGATGCGTACTTGCGGAGCATCTGACCAATAGTTTTGTTCATCCTTTCAGTCCGGCCATTTTCCCAATGACAGTATGGGATGGACAACTGGTGCGGAGGTGGGGGGCGTGGCCGAACTCATCGGGGGGAAACCCATATGGTTTCCCCCCCGACGAGCTCAGCCATGCCCCCAACGTCAGCAACGTGGCTGCATCACCTCTGGTGACGCAGCTTCGAGGGTGGGGTTCCCCCCGGGGCCCAATTCCGCCGCGGTGGAAATTGGGCCTCCGAAGTGGGGGATTCCCCGCCCCCCGGGCCCATTTGGCAACCCTACCTGTAAACCAAGGAATAAACTGTCCTGGGGTTGGAAAGGATTGCAGTGGAAGATGAATGTAGAAAGTATCCACCATCTGTGCTTCTGTAAAGCACTGGGTCCATCTTTGCTTCTGTAAATCACTGGATCCATTTCTCAAACACTAGTAATATTTAACATTACATTTGACCTCTGAAGACATTTTTACAGAAAAGTTGTATGTGGAATTCTCAAATGTGGGGATTTGTGGTATCCTGTTCTGACAAGCCACATGGTACTTCTGCTGATGCACTGTTAGGCTGTATGTGTTGCCAACTCCGGCTTCAGAAATTCTTGGAGACTTGAGGGTGGAGCCTCAAATCTGGTGGAGAGTGGGATTTAGAGAGGGCAGGTTATAATGCCACACAGTCCACCTTCCAAAGCTGCCATTTTCTCCAGGAGAAGTGGAATAAAAGTTTCAAATAAACCATGAATAAATAAATGATTTATGTAGTCTAGAGATCAGTTGGGATTCCAGGAGATCTCCAGCCCCCACTTGGAGGTTGGCAACTCTATGTGTAACAACTTACATTCTGGACATTTTTGTAAAATTCATTACAAAACGTACTCCTTTGCACACCTCTGGTTGTGTGTTATAGCACTGACAAGGAAGCTGAGGATGCTTCTAGGCAGGCAGGGCAGCCATTCCCACAGACTTGGACCCTTTCTGAGAATTTGTTTTCATAAATTTCCTTCAAGGAGGTAGGCATAGCAGAAATGGATAGCAGAAATTATGGGCCTAGCAATACCGGTAAAACCAGAAATCTTCCTTTTAAATATTATTCCTGATGTAAGGGGTAAAGAAGAGAAAACATTGCTATTGTATTGTATAACTGCCGCCAGAATATGTTATGCCAAATATTGGAAAAGTGAGAAAATTCCAGACAAATTAGAAGTAATTCAAAAATGGTTTGATGTCGCTGAGATGGATAAATTATCAAATATACTAAAAGGGAAAGATGAGGAAATCTATAACAAGAAATGGAAAAGATTACTTGAATGGAAATGTAACTAAGTGACTAGGATGATATTAGGAAATTTTAAAGAGGAATACTCATGGCTGTATGCCCGTCTTTGTAAATACTACTGATAGTTTATTTGTTATATCATGTTACGTTGGGTGTGGGTGATTGGGGAAAATGAATAAAAACATTTATAAAAAATAAAAAAAAGGAGGTAGGCATAGCCATACATGGGAACACAGGGATCTGTGTGAATTGCTGAGGTAAATATTCTGTTAACTGCTTTCCACCCAAGGTTTTAAGAGGCCACTGGGCTAGTTGATCTGCAACTGAAAAATTTGTTGTTCAGGAAAGTGCACATTGTTTATATAACCTGTGTTGTTGGTATACACTTGCTAGTTTTCTTCCATTCCCGAAGCATTACCAGAGCGCCTCTAGGTTCCCCTCCCCATCCATTTTGATGCAGCCCTGTAGCTACGGATTTTAGGGGGAAGGGGGCCTTGGGGGGGGAACAGCTCCAGGGCAAGGGGGGGTCTGCTTGGCATGCACCCACACAGCCCCCACTAGAGCCTTCCTCTGAGGGGAGCAAGAATCCCAATGTTAATAGACACTAAAAGGTCTAGGAAAGCTGCCGTGTTTCCAAAAAAAAAAAAGGAGAGCCGGGATCAAGTTTCCTCCCTCCTTCCCTGAGCCTGGCGCAGAAAATCCAACAGGAGGACCTAACTGCGGCAATCCGACCAATGTGTGTGTGATTCAGTCAACCACCGGTTGCTGCTGGGTCCTAAAGAGACTCAGCTCATCACAGATGAGCTCAAACAGGAAGATGCTGGCTCAGATCGATCAGGGGGTGAGGGGGCCGGAGGGAGGGAGGGGGAGCTGAAGATCTGGGGAGGGGCCCGCAAAAACAGCAGGGGGGTGGGCCCCATGGGCCCCATGTTAGCTACGGGCCTGTTTGATGGCACCATTTTTCACAGACCAGTAGGGTAATAACTGTGGCAAACATCTGTGGTACTCTGCCACTCTCATATGCTGTATATAAAGATGTGAAGGCCCAGAAAAAAAAACCTGGGGAAAATATTTTTCCCTCATTCCCTCCCCCCACTTTTGAGGGGGGGGGAACCCCCATTTTTATGATGGAAATATTGGGAAATGAAAGGTTGGAATACAAAATATCTTCTCTTTTAGAATGAGTAAAATTATTCTTAAGGCAAAACCCCCCTCAAAATGTATAGCATGAAAATGTCTGAGGACTTCTTCAATTTCAGCGGAAGGGCGAGATAAAAGTCGAACAAACAAACAAACAAATAAATAAAAATTTTACTCCTGGAAAAATCAGGAAATTTTAGGAAGTACTGAAAAAACTCCTTATTCCATATGTTCAGTGTAAAAAAATATCTGAGGATTTTCTGAACATTTCCAGTGGAGCACTGGGGGGGGGGGGCTTTTATATTGTAGACATATACGGCATTTTCAATTTTTTTACTTAAATGCTAATAATTTTGGCTACATTTAATATGCTATAGTGTATTTAATTACAATACATCAAAGGCTCCCCACCTATTGTGATTCTATAAAACAGTTTTTGTCCAAATAATGCATATTCTTTTGTTTTCTTCCTTCAACTTCTATTTTTTCATACACTCCAAAAGGCAAAAATTAAATATATGTGTGCTAAGCTTGCATAGGGTACATTAGTTTGCAACTTTTTCTCAAGCACTGCATGTACCTATAAGTAAAATTGTATATACTAACTATATGCATTTAATGTTGTTCAATCTGTAAAAAAAATTGCTTTGATAGGAAAGTAAATGTATATATTTCAGTTTTTCTCAAAATTAACAGAAAGTTTAAATCTCTAGCGCTGTAGACTCTGTGTTTCCTTTTCTGGTATGGTATTTGCAGCTCAAAGGCTAACCTTTTAATGAGATCATGTGGGCATGAAAAAAATTATGACACAGTTGGTGGTCAATAGCGTTGCCAGATTCCCCTGTCCCACAGGGGTTTCCCAATTTGGGGGGCTCCTTCCCACCCCCAGCCAACTGGCCAGTGGGGGGAAGCCCCACTCCCAAGACCGACCACCCAGCAACCCCCTACTACAAGATTTAAGGGGCCATCCAGCTGGCCCTTTAAAGTTTGCAGAGGGAGGAAGAGGGGTGGCCGCACATGCCCGCACCCCCCAACTCATCCCAACAGCATTTAAAGAGACGTGGTCTGAAAGAGGCAGGGCTGCACACCGAAATTTGTTGGCAGCTCAGGGCTTGCAGGGCAGCTGCGAGGGGTACCTGCTCTTTTAAAGCAGGGGCCTCCCGTGCCTGCCCTACAAGTAGCGAGATCGCAACTTGCAAGCCAAGCGTAAGCAACTCCTGCTTCAAAAAAGTGGGAGCAACTCGCACTTGCCCTGCAAGCAGTGCTCTTGTGGCTTGCAGGGCAGGCACGAGCGGCACCCACTCTTTTGAAGTGGTAGCTGCTCGCACTTGCCCTGCAAGTGGGGATCTCATGGCTCACAAAGCAGGCATGAGTGGTGCCCGCTTGTACCTGCCCTGTAGACAGAGAAGGCTTACAGGGCAGGCATAGGCAGTCCCTGCTTTCTCCCAACCATTCAAAGGGAAAGTTCCCTTTAAATGGTTGGAGGGAAGCGGGGATGCGCACATGGTGCTGTATCCCTGGCATGATGACGGCACTCCATGTGATGTAGGGCTGCCAAATCCCCCCGGGGGTGGAAATCCCCCTGCCCCAGAGGTCCGTTCCCCAACGCCGGGGATTTGGGCCCCGAGGGGAACCCCGTCCCAGCGTGCACGTCACAGGGAAGTGACATTATGACGCCGGGCACGCTGGGGGCGGGGCCACGGCCATACAAGGGAAAACTCCGAGAGCCGGGCTGGAGTCCCCCGCCGGCAAGGTAGGTAACATTTGGCAACCCTAATGTGATGTCATCACGTTGGGGTGGCCTGTCCCCCTCCTGGCACGCCCTCCCAAATCCCACCACTGTAAGGAAAATACAACCTGGCAACCCTAGTGGTCAATGTAACATTTGGTGAGTTGAACCCATAAGCAGAAACCAGCAGAAAAGCTGAATTCTGCTCATGGTGATTGTCCTTAGAAAAGTTCTGTGGGAAACTAGTTTCAGCCTAATATTTTTATGTCTATGTGCCAATCACTTAATCAATTCAAAAAGTCACCCTGCAAGTATCAAACACTGTCAGTACCATCCCTCTGTTTCTCACAAAGGAGGAAATACACTACCTGAATAGGAAAAGGAATGAAATATATCTGCCTTCTCAGGAATTATGAAGAGCAATTTAAATTCAAGTGCCTTTTCCGCTGGTTACAAATCACTGCAGAGTGTTATTCACTATAATGCTGTCCAAACATCATTTTATTTATTGATGTTTATTGCTTCTCTTTTGCAGAGTGATGAGGTTTTGACTGTCATCAAAGCAAAAGCACAATGGCCCGCCTGGCAACCACTAAACGTGTAAGTAGGCAGGAAATTAAACCTCCCAAAAGACTTTCTACTCACTGTCCTCTGACAGAATGCTTTAAACATCTTTCCTCCCACCAAAATATTTCTCTCTTTCAAGGAACAGCAGTAAAGTCCTGTTGATCAATGAATTTCTTTTCTTCTTCTTTTTTTTAAAATATGTTTTATTTAATCACTCTAACAGTATTGAGGATGTGGTGGTTTGGGGGACATTTATGTTAGGGTTGCATACTATTTTACCAGCAGCTTGCAGTGTGGACCACAGGCCTCCATCACTGTGCACTGCTGAAATGGGACATAGCACCCTTCCCAGGGGTCATCAGGAAGAATGACAGAGCTGCCATGACCACAGCTTCAGCATCATACCAGCATGAAGTCTCTTTATGTTACTTTCTGGTGGTGCTGCTGCTTCTAGCAACCCCTTCAGCAGTTCCCAGCAGTGGTCTGGGATATTCCCTGTGACTTACCCAACAAGTCACTTGTGGACAAGGTAATCCTGTTTTGCTTTCTCTATGTCTCCTAAGCGCTGAGGGCATACCTGCAGTGAATACTATGATCTATGATCTTATGTAGAAAAAGCCCAGCAGGAACTCATTAGCATAATAGGCCACACCCAACAGCAGAAATTCATTTGCTTATTAGGACACACCCCTGACAGCACAGCTCATTAGCATATTAGGCCACACACCCCATGTTCGCAGAAGTGTGGTCTTCCAGACACACTCACCTTTTGCTTCTTATTCTGCTTACCTTGTTTGTTGTCAAAACCCAGAGCTTTTTTATAGCAGGAACTCCTTTGCATGTTAGGCCACACACCCCTAATGTAGCCAATCCTAATGAGTGTCTGCTGTTGGGTGTGGCCTATTATGCTAATGAGTTCCTGCTGGGCGTGGCCAACTCGGGAGCCAGCCGGAACTCCGTTCCTGTGCCTTCCTGCCCAAAAATAGCCCTGATCTTATGGATGTTTTATTAAAGTTAGTCCTATTGAAGTCAGCTGAGCATTACAGCCTGAAACTGAAAATTGCAGTTCTGTCAGGGAGGTGAGGCTCCCCATCAGAGAATGTTAGTAATACAGATTTAAAAAATCAACATGGTGTTTCTAGGATTAATTTATTTCAGAGCTGAATTGCTGTAGATGTCATTTCTGAAAACAACAACAATTCTTTATTGGCTAATGCCTAGGTTTCAGAAGAATTATAGGGGAGCAATAGTAATCCCAGGTAGTTTGGGTTTCAAAGCAGCAGCAACACTGAGATCTGTAGCGTAATGAGGAAGACAAAGGTTCTCTTACGGAATTCTAAACTCCTCCTCCACACTGCTGTTGTAAAAGATGGGCACATGAAGTTCTACATGCATAGGTTCTCTTGCCACAGTCAAGAAATGAGTTTCAGTTTAAGTGTCAGCATGCAATCCACCATCAAAAAAATTTCTTATAATGTGCAAAGGCTGGACAACATCATTAAGTGTAAGAGAGTTCAGAGTCAAATTGTGAAATTAAATCTGGACATCCTCCTCCTCCAAGAGACCCATATCAAAAATGTTGCAGCCTCTCTGTTCAAAACAAAGAAAGGGTCTCTTTGATGCTTTTTGCAGCAAAAACTGTCATTGCTACGCACTGGAAAACAACAATGGCACCCACACTTTTACAATGACATAAAAAGTTGTGGGATTTAATATATCATGGCGAAACTCTCGGATAATCTTGATAAACTTCCGGCCTCTTCTACTTTTGTTCCAACATGGTTTCCTATTTTAGAATACCTAGCCAATCAACAAGACATTCCTAAAGTAATTGATGACCTGTGGTTGTGGTAATGCTTTTCAATATACCAATGATTGTTGCTACTGTTAATATCTTTATGTGTTAAAATTCAGTCTAGGTTATGGATGGTACCCTATTGATATTATTTCTTTAGTTACAACTATTGTTGCTCTAAACCTTGAAATGCACAATATTCTGTTGGTTTACTACTCCATGTATTGTTCTAGCACTTTAAATGTTTCTATGTTTGCAATATTAATAATCCTACCAAACTTACAATAAACTTTATTGTACAATTTAAAAAAGACAAACTGCATGCTGGGGATTGTTTGTGCCTTGTTTGTTGACATTTCAGGGCAAGTGGTTGACCACTGTGACTCAGAATGCTGTAGTAAATGAACCAGTCGTCTGTTCCAGGCTATTCACCGGTCTGTTCCAAGCTAGTTTTATGTTCTATCATTACAGTCAGTATCCGTAGACCATTTATTACATTTTTATCCTTGTCAAGCTTCATTCGTGGCCCTGGAGTCGACCCGCCCGTGGCCATGGCGTCGACCCTGGGAGTTGGAGAGGGTTCATAGAGAAGGAGGTTGTGGAGGGGCCTCAGATAGACAGGGGACGGGGTTATGAGTACCCCGTACGTCCCTCTGCCAACATGTGCCGAACACCTTTGGTCCCGTCTCTATCTCTTGCTCTCTCTTTCTCTCCATCTCGTTTCTTCACACTTTCCTCCTCCCCGGCACATCCGCTTCTCTCTCCTTTTATCCCCCGTCCTGCTCCCAGTGCCACCTGTAATCCCCACCCCCCCTTGATAAGCCCAGATGCCTTCTGGTCATCCCGAGCGTGGTTATGGGTGTGCGTAGCTTCCCCGTCATTCCCGCCCTTAGCCCTCCCTCAGCGGCCTCCGCCTCGCCGCTTCCTGGTATAGAGATCTGAGGTGCCTGACCAAGGGGCTGTGCTCTGCCGGTGTGGCTGCCTCTCCCTGGGTTGGCGCTGTTTGTTTCTCCCGGGGCTCCTGCGATGCAGCCCTGTCGGTCATCATCGTGTTGCCGCTGCCCTGCTCCTCTGCTGTTCCTTGGGTGAGTGGCCTGGTTGGGGCGCCCTCGTCCCAAGGCCACTGGACCGGGACAATCCTGCTCTTCCTTCCAGGAGTTCAGGGTGGCATACATAGTTCTCCTCCATTTTTATCTTTATATCAATGTGGCATGTTATGCTAAACAAACTTCATAGTTATAAACGATGCTTCATAGTGGCATAATTATATGTTGTATGCTTCCCCCCAAGCAGAGTCTCATGCACTGTCCTCTGGCAGACTGGTGTCTGCTTCCTCCTTCCTTCCTTCCTCCTGGTGAGAGCCAGTTTGGTGTAGTGGTTAAGTGCGCGGACTCTAATCTGGGAGAACCGGGTTTGATTCCCCACTCCTCCACTTGCACCTGGCTGGATGACCTTGGCCAAGCCGTAGTTCTGATAAGAGCTGTCCTTGAAAAGGAGCAGTTTCTGTCAGAGCTCTCTCAGCCCCACCTCCCTCACAGGGTGTCTTTTGTTGGGAGGGGAAGGGAAAGGAGTTCGTAAGCCGCTCTGAGACACCTTCGGGTAGTGAAGGGCGGGGTAAAAATCCAATCTCTTCTTCCTCTTCCTAAGATAAGTTACTTTATTGTACTGCCATCCTTCTGCTGATTTGTTGTTCTTGTTCAGTGTCATCAAACCCTCAGTGTTTCAAGGCTTATGCTCATTTGGCCAGCCTTGTGACATTTGTACTGTGGTATTTCATAGTCTCAACCTTTTGCCTAACCTCTGCAGCATATATTTTTTTTACTAAATCATTTTGTTCATGCTATATATTAACAGTAGGTTGCCTTTTCCAAGGCTGTCACTCCAGCACTGCTCTAAATTAAGATTCCCCCCCCCCCCTCGAAAAACAAACAGTTGGAAAAAAACTGATCTGATTTTCCAGGGTGTCTAAGCAGTCCATAATTTTTTTTACTCTTTTACTCAAATGCCTATTTAAATATTCCCTAAGTATATTCACTTATCCGAATACTTTAAAGATATATTTGATGCTTATAGAAGTACCTGTTTCAGTTGCCATATAATGATACTTCCCCCCGTTACAAAACCACAAGAAGTGATCCAAATATCAGTACTTTGAGTAATAATAGTGTTAGGAATTAGTTTGGGATGAGAGACAAAAAAAAATCAGTATCTGGTGATTAACTTAAACAGTCATCTACAATTGCTACCTTAATTCATGCACACAAACAGGCGTGGACACAGACTGCCATTCAGAGGATTGTATTTCAAGATCATAAACCACCTGCAGTTATGTGTGCAAAGGTGCTGAAGTCTACAAAAGCAGCCATGCAATGCAAGCTCTGCAAAACATACTCTTACAAAGGTTCTTTTAGGTGGGTAGCTGTGTTGGTATAAACCGGCAGAACAAAGTTCGAGTCCAGTGGCACTTCTAAGACCAACAAAGTTTAAAATTTGACTCCCTTCAAAACTCATCACATGCCTCAGCTAAGGATAATTTTGTAGTTGGGGAGGGTTGCTACTCGGAGATGTACAAAACCCTCCTGGGAAATCTTGCTAGATTTAGTGAAACCCCCTTTTTTTTTGCTTCCTCCAGAATTCCTTTCAAATTTTATAATACAATTTTCCACTGGCATTTGTAATGAGGTGCATAGGAGAACAGTTAATTATGTAAAACAGATACAGTTGTGGGCCAAATTCTTTGTGAGTAGAATGGTCTCTTTACAGATCTGAGAAAATCCTCTGCCTGAAACTTCTGCTGGTCAGAGTAGACTTCTGCTGGTCAAAATATTGGTTTGACATAATATAAGACAGCACTTTATTTATAACACATTACCAGATCTTTGCAATATGCTTTTATTATATAATAGTCAGTAGTCAAACTATAACAGCGAAATTTGAGCTAAATTGGTAGGCATGCTTCTCATGTTAGTTTTTGGTGTTTTAAATTCTTCATAAGATGGTTTTTGCTACCTTTTTTTCTAGCTCGTTCTTGTTTTCATCGAAACCTGTGTTTAGATCTTTTTGGTATCTTGACTTTAATTGTATCTGCTCCCACCAGGATAATTTTATGTTATACTGTAAATTTAATTCTTCTTCCGATTTTAGTTTGTTTGTCTGATCCAAGAAGTTTTCATAAGTTTCTTTATTATATTTTGTTTGGAGTGTTGGTTTTACAAAAGCTTCCAGTGGCGAGACCCAT